CTATAATGCATTGTAACCCTGACCGTCTCGCTGTACCGTTTAATACATTATCAGTGGGATGCTCGAGGTGAACCCTATACTACTCCCAAATGAGGGATCTCACTCCTCTTGACTCCGGTCCATCAACACGTCGGGAACCGGAGGTACGCCAAGCTCTCAGCCCCCCATAGGACGTAATATTGGACAGTATGATCTCATATACCACAATGGACAAGACCTGATACGCCAAAGAAAAACCGAAAACGTAATTGGGATGGATCATCGATAGTAGTGTGCTTACAATCTCATCATGCACGGAAGACAAGATATTTGTAATAATGGTGAATTTCGAATCCAGAAAATTCTGAGAAGTGGAAGAGAAACCAAAAAGGCAACATCCAACATCCAAGGAGTGTGACTACGGGGTCAACTAATCCAATTCAGTTCAATGTAGTTCAATGACAAAGCTTGAAGGCGTTTTTGATGGATTAGTAAAATCGAGCCACGAGTTTTCAGTCATCTTTTCGTTGCTCCTACGATTTCTTACGAATGTCTACACAATATAAAAACCGATATCAAGAAGATGTACCGTTTATTTCTTGCTGGATAAGAGGATCGTCCTTACCTCCGCATCTTGTCACCAAGCAACTTGTCGACGATGATGACTTCCCGAAGACTTCCCGTTATCAAGAAAGATTTATACGTGGATGACCTAACCTAACCAGTGCCGAAGTCGTTTGTTTCAAGGAGGAGAACTCAACATTCGACAACAGTGGGCATCCAACAAGTCATGACTCCCCGCTAGATTTAATTGATAACCAAATCAATACAACAATCTTAGGTGAAACAACAATAATGACACACTCAGGATTTCAGTAGATTATCGCACCATACGCATCAAACGTAAACAAACGCACCATACTATCATCCATCTTCAATTCATTAGGATTATCCGGACCCGTTACCATAACCACGAAGATCATCATGCAACGTCTCTGGCAACTAAAGATTGACTGAGATAAATCTCTGTCAGCTAATCTACACACAGAATGGACCTCCTCAGTTGTACAACAATTTAGGCACCTCAACCACATTCGATCGAAACGTCATTCAATGTACGGTCAGATGAGTTGAACTCCACAGATCAGAGCCGCTTAACTTTTTGCTCTCGAGCAAATTTCCCCTCCCGAGGTTCCCCCACTATGCGACTGAGATGGTCTCGCTCGAGTTGCGTCGAGGTGGGAGGAGCACGCGAGGAGTCCTCCCACCACAACTCCAGCGACTGCCGTTGGTTTATGTTACACATTCTGCGTGTTCGTACCGCATAGTGGGGGAACCTCAGGAGGGGAAATTTGCTCGTGAGCAACAAGTTAAGCGCCTCTGATGTAGGAGGCTGTATCCTCGCCTCACGCATATTGATAGTGGGGGAACCGGAACACTGGTAGTGGAAGTCGTGAAG